GAGGAGGCATACCATTGAGGCAGCCATAGCTGGAGCTGCTAGGTGTCCTGGAAGCCGCAGAGGAGGCAGGTTACCTCCAGGCGTGGTTGGCATTTTCATAGTGCTGCTTTGGGAGGCTAGAGGATAGCCGCCACATCATTGAGCAGTTTCTGGTTGGACGCTGCCATATTTCGAAGGCAGCAGCCCTCTTCTTCATCGAAGTTCATCTTCTTCTTCATGGTGGTGATTGGCACTGCTGACTGGGATTCTGACCAATGTCAGATCAGCGCCTGCAGCTTGTAGATACTTGGGAATTGGCCATTGGTAGAGCAGCAAGAGCTGTGTACCATACCTGAGTTCACGAGTTGTCGGCAAGAGGGGCACTTTCAGTGAACTTTCGTTGAAGGCTTGTTGGGAGTTTTTTTTCTTTTTTCTTTTAATTTTTTATGATGATGATGATTAGTATGTAAAAATTATTGAAGACTATGCTATATCAGCAATTCTGGCCTTCTAATCCAAGAACAACTCCTAGCCCTCCCTGTACCAGGACATTACATCTTAGAGACAATGCCATCTTAACCAACGTCAACCATAGCTGACCTGTTCTCACCACCTAGACTATTCCTGGACCCATAGGTTGTCTAGGCAGCCCCCCCCAGTTCGCCTCTGGATTGCCTTCCTCCCTCAGCAAAACCCCAGATCTCTCTGATGCGCTGATTGTGGCTGAGTTCTTCGCGACCTGCCTGTTCTGATAGGTCGTTCTTTTACCATTATCCAAAAGAGACCGCTCATGTTAGAGGGGAACGTAACAGGTGCTAGGTTCCTTATGCTACCCAGGGCCATTTCAGTCCATGGGAGGGACTGTCTCGTGAGAATTGTGATTACCCGATTCGTCTGGAGTGCGATGGCTTCCTGTTTTGGGTTAATTAAACCCAAGCCTCCTTCATGTGGTTTCCGGGTGATGTAATGCCATCCCACTTTGTTGATGCAGGCGGTTCTGTTAGGATCCCCAGTCCAAAGAAGGCATCTGACTTTGGCCTTGAGATTCTTCAGGTCGTCATCAGGGGGGACCAGATGGAGGCCATGTACCACAATGTGGAGAAGATAGCAGCGTTTATAATTAGCGCCCTACCAATTAGGGATGCCTAAGCATTCTTGCACGGGGCCAAACAAGCTACTGCCCTAGCAATGAGATTCTGTCCCATACCAGGCCATGTGTCGTCCTCGTTCACCATAATGCCCAGGTAGCGGAGTGCTTGTTTGCCTGTGGACCAGGATAGGGGTGTGGGAATGTCATCTGGTTGAGGGGGGATGTCGTCGGCTAGCCACCATCCCTGGATTTTGGCCCAATTGACCTTCATTTCGGATGCCAACCAGAAGGCTTCAATAGCTCTGACGAGCGCTTGGAAGGATGAGTTATTGGCTCGGATAAGGACTATGAGATCGTTCGTGAACATCAGAGTCGTGGGAAGGGCGAAATCATGCAATGAGTTAAAGTTCTGCTCTGTAAGGCGATCTACTGATGGGTCTTTGCGTAGGAAGGATGCTATGGCTTCCATGATGAAGAGGAAAATGGGGGGAGCTAGGGGGTCGCTTTGGCGAATAGACCTCGAGATCGGGTAAGTATCCAACAATATTCTGTTGACCTGGACCCTTCCGCTGGCATCACCATATAACACTTTCACCCATTCCCTCGAGATCGGGTAAGTATCCAACCATTGGGGCTCACTCCCATCCTTTCCATACAGTCGTGGAGGAAGTCCCAGTTGACCTGATCGTAGGCTTTCTCGAATTTCTTGCCTCATTCAGGGTCATCACATTGTCAAGAGTGTATCGCCCTGGAATGAAGCCTGCTTGGTCAATATGGAAGCATTTGTCGGTGAGGTTTATGATCCTGTTTGCCAACGCTTTTGGCAGAATTTTGTAGGGGGCGGTGAGTAGGGAGATGAGTCTGTAGTTTTGTAAGTCTTCTCTTCCTCTTTCTTATGGAGTAGTGAGACAACACTCGTGCTCAGAAATTGGCCTAGTCCTTTTTCCCTGTCCCTGCTATCATTGAAAAAGTTGAGGAGATGGTCTCCTATTGTAGGCCAGAAGTGTATCCAAAATTCTTTCGATAGGCCGTCAATGCTTGGAGCCTTCTCGCCACACATTTGGCTTAGGGCTACTTGAAGTTCCCCCTTGGTGATTGGTCTGTCCAGGCCTTCCGACTGTTCTGACGTGATTGTCCTTTCCAGGTAAGATGTCATGTGTTGGCGAGCAGCTAGGTTTGCTGTACAGGGGGGAGAGGATGTCTTGGATTTGTAGAGATTCGCATAGACGGACCTGGCCATTTCTATCATGCCCGCGCCCGCAGTTTCGACCCTTCCCTGATGCATTGGGTTTATTAGTCCCTCAATCATGTTATTTCTAGCGTTTGCTTTAATTTTAGAGAAAAAGATTTTGACATGGATTCGTTAAGGGAATAGTCGGTCATCCTGGCACGCAGTTGCAGGCCTCTCAGTTCCCACCTTTTCCATTCATCGAGTTCCTCCATTGATGATTTGAGCAGGTTGATGAAGAAGTCATTGGTAGGGTCTATTATGAGGTTAGCCTCGGCTAGTGTGATGGCAATTCGGAGTTCCTCTTTTCTGATCTTTCGTTCTCCTACTATTCGATTCGGCCGAACTGTCTGAGTAAGGTCTGTGTAGCTATCGATAAACCATTGGTGTCTGTCTTTTCTCCTAGCCTCGTTTTGTCTCATGAACAGGCAGTTTCATTTGACCGCTTCCAAAAAAAGAAAAAAAGAAATAAAAGAAAAGGGAAAGAAAAGGGAAAAAAGAAAAAACTCTCTTTCTCAGCAGTGTTGTGGGTGAACACTCGGCCTAGAAACGAAACAGGTCAGTAAAAATGCAGATCATTTTAAGAACCTTACGGTCAAGATCATAACGTCGGAAGTCGAAAGCAGTGATATCATCGACAATGTGAAGATGAAGATTCAAAACAAGGGAGGGATTCCTCTGGATCAGCAGAGGCTCATATTCAGGGGAAAGCAGCTTGAAGATGGCCGGACCCTCGCAGATCATAACATCCAGAAGGAGTCCACCCTCAATCTCATGTGCAGACTTTGTGGTGGAGTCATCGAGCCTTTGCTGATGGCTCTTGCGAGGAAGTACAACCAGGAGAATATGATTTTACCGCAAGTGCCCTGCTAGGCTGCATCCACGGATCAGAACTGCCAAGTCATCTGCAAAGAGGTTGGTAGTTTAAAAGTGAATGTGCCCGTTCTGTTGATCCGGCGTTCCCACCAGTCTTTCCGTCGAAGGATCTTTCCGAAGGAAGGAAGCTATTGCCTCCATGATGAACAGGAAAATAGGTGCAGCTAGTGGGTCACCCTGTCTAACTGATCCCGACATCTTATATGGTGCCGACAGATGGCCATTGACTTGAGCCTGCCCGCCTGCCCGTGAGCATTGTTATACAGGACCCTCACCCATTTCCTGAAATTGGCCCCCTACACCCATCCTTTCCGTGCATTGTTGCAGAAATCCCCAGCTAACTTGATTGTATGGCTTTCCAAAATCAAAGAACAATGTTGCCGTGTTGATTCTTTTTTCATTCATGTACCTTACTGACTGCGTGAGGGTCATTATGTTACCCAAAATATATCTGCCTGGGATAAATCCTGTCTGATCCAAATGAAAACGATTTTGGGTTATAGTCTTAGGCCTGTTTGCCAACGCTTTTGCGACTATTTTGTGGTCATGGTCAGCAATGTAATAGGGCGATAGTGACATATGTCTTTTGGGTCTCCCTTCTTATATAGGAGGGGGACAACTCCTTTAGATGGCTCTATTCCCATCCCTTCCCTTTGCCAGGCTTAATTCGAGAATGCGTCATATTCACCCCCACAGTATATGCCACTAGGTTTGCCAGAATTCCTTGGCTAGTCAGTCTTTGGCGTTTGATTGCATCGGGATTCGAAGTCGGGTCTGTGTTTCAACAGTTCATGGGTGTACCAACTGAGCTAGACCCATTGGTCAGTCTGTCTTTGCCTGGGGTCTTGTTTGGATTCATTGATTTGAGGGCTTCCTCCAGTTGCTCCTGAGTTAAAGGGGCACCTAACTCATCCGACTGGTCTCCAGTGATAGTCCATTCCAGGTAAGACAATAAGTTGGTGGTATATAGCGTCTTATAAAGTCATGTGCCACACCTACCATCCATCCTCTATGTGTCTGTTCCGCGACTAGGCCATGTTCCCCCTCCAATTGCACTTGCCAAGCAACGATTGAACTAAGTCCAGTACAAATGAGGGAGGAGAGCGAGGAGCTAAAGGGACTCCTGCAAGGAAAAAGCGCACCTTTGTTTGGCTGGTTTGTTGTTTGGTTGATTACGTCATGTGTTGGTTGGTTTGCTGTCTGTTGTTTGTTTATTTATTTGTTCGATTGATTGGTTGCTAGCTTTGAATGCTTGCTTGCTTGCTTACCTGGCTGGCCAAGGTGGCTGGTCGGTTGCTCATTCCCAGTGTAAACCTTTGTCTGGTTGTTCTTGTTGGTTCGTTAATTGCCTGTATTCTTTTATTTATTTTAATTATATAAAAAAACAGAGCCTTATGGCTCCGGCTCCATATCCATTCTGGGGAGCATCAGTCCGGTTCCTATTCCACCGGTTTTCTTCGCCGCAAGTCACATAGTAAATACACTATACAACACACTCCACGCTTCTCTTCTTTATGGTAGAGAGACTGGACTGGGTGGCATTGATTACTTTCCCTTCAGGAAGGATATACCTCCCCGCACCCCGGCCTAAGTTAGCTTGCTGCTACTGACCCTTGTTCCCTGTCCCATGACTACCTGGTTGTTTTGTCGGTTTATTTGTTTGTTTGTTTCAGTGGTTGGTTGGTTGCTTGGCTGGCTGGCTGGCTGGCTGGCTGGCTGGTTGGTTGGTTGGTTGGTTGGCTGGTTGGTTGGTTGGTTGGTTGGCTGGTTGGTTGGTTGGTTGGCTGGTCGGTTGGTTGATTTTGCATTACTTCTTGGCTTTGGCAGGGGGTTCAGATTGAGGACATTCAATTCTTGAGATTTGTGTTTGCTATGTTCCCTACATACAGAGACAGGTATGATTCCATATTGACTGCCGTCTATCTATCTTCTCTTGTTGATTTGAAATAATACACAGAGACTTACAGTCCAATACAAGCATCATTGATGCAGAGCTTTGCTGTCATGTGCTCCTACTGCCCTGGTGCATAGCAATCTAGCTGCGTTCCTGCAGGAAAGTGCAGATCTGTTCATGTGTGTGTATTGGCACGAACTCTGAGGCAAAGGGCAAGGAGCCAACGCCATAAGATGGGGAGAAGGCAAGGGACTGTGAGGCAAAGGGCAAGGAGACCAACGCGAGACGATGACAAATCGCAACAAGCCACATGGACTTGGAGGCAAGGGAAGAAGGGGGGGGGGCACACGCAGTGAGGCAGGACATAGGCTGGAGGGCATGGGGGAGGCGGGAGGGCAAAGGATGCACAAGCACACATGGCAGGGAAAAGACAACGAGCAGAAGACAGGAAAAGTACAACGACTGAAAATCTGCAACGCGGTAAAAAATGAAACATAAAAAATATAAACCGATGATGAAACCTTGTTTCCTCGGACTTGCACCGGCTCATCAGGAGGCTGAACCCTCGACAATCTGCAGAATCCCCATATTGACGCTTTGGGTCATAAACCCTTTGACCCTTGCTGAAAGCAGACTGCCAGCAGGCAACATCGCAAGCGGAGCATAGCGGCAGGCAACGGCTCAGAGAAGCACCAGGCAATGCTGCCGCGGCCATCCACTGCAAAGTGTCAAAGCGAACTGAACGGAACGATGGCACAAGCAGACTGGCAACAAAGCAACAGCACAGCGAAGCACACAGCAGCGGTGCAGCAGTAGCAAAACTATATATCGCAGAAGCAAAGAGCGCAGGAAGACACAGCACGCGGATGGACAGCAAGGCAACAGCACAGCGAAGCATAAGGCAACACCAACAATGCAGCCAAACTACACAGCGACAAACCACCTGCAAAGAATGACATGAGGATCAAGCAGGATGGCCAGCAAGGCAGCCGCGGAGCATAGAGCAGGCATTTCACACATCCAATGCGGAGCAAAGCCATCCAAGACTTACTCACACTACAAGAAGAAGCCTGCAGACTGTTGGTTCCCACCACCTGCTGAGCCAGGAAGCCGCTCTGACGCACATCTACGATCACCCATAGACCATATGCAACACAGACATCACAGACAGAGTGGGCCCCCTACGGGTCCTGCAGGAACTCCAAACAAACGACCATTGTCTGTTTAGCACTTCTTAAAGGTGCTTGCCCAGGCACACAAAAAAGTACGTAAGAAAAATCCGGAAAGAGGAAATACACACCCAGTCAAAAGAATTTGTCCCTGAGGAGAACATTTCCCAGAAGTTGTTGCTCGCTTATAGAGGACCGTGGCAGATTCTTGATGTGATTGGGGATGTGGATGGCCCCTCCTATGTTCTTGAGATTCCTCCACATTTGCACACTTATCTGGTGTTTCATGCATCAAAGTACTTCCTTGCGTTAGTAATGAATTGTTTCCAACTCGCAGATCTATGATTCCCCCGGATATGGATGGAAAGTATGATGTTTACAGATCTGGACGCAGGGGTAGACCGCAGCGACAGTATAAGGTTAGATTTGCATATCAGGAACCTTCAAAAGATCGCTGGTTTACAAGAGACGAACTAATTGAAACAGCACCGCATATTGTGTCTTATTATGAGAGAGCTAAAAGAGGAATTAACATAATTGTTAGATAAAGTTGATAACTTTCTCGGAGGATGTAGCATATCAGAAAGTGAAATGCACTAACAGTCTAGGATCTAGCAATGATGAAAGTGGCAACAACCAGCAGCATAGATGCAACATTCACCAGATGTCAATGTGCACAATGCAACAAGTAAACCAACG